TCCTTGAACCCTATTCCTTCCTTCAACATTCCGTACACTTCTAGACCCTCCTTATCCTTGGATTCTTTCCTCAGATTCTGTTCTTCTCTCTCGGCACAAGCAACAGATATCTTCTCCTTGAACCCCTGTAGACCCTCCGTTTCCAGCGTTTCATCTTCGTCGATGTCGAGCCCCTTCCATACGTCCTCTACAACCTTGACCCATTCCGTGGGTTGTCTACCCCTCTTTTTTTATTAAAAATTGTCTACGCACTTCCTCTGCCTTGTTGGTGGCTATTTGTATGCGTATCTCTGGCGCCATACCCGACAACGATTGTGCGTGAGATTCGAGTGAGGTTCACCAGCATTTTTTTTTTGCGTGTACATGACGCACGGAGCGCAGGCCGTCGCTCTCCTTTAACCTTGACGTTTTTGATACCGTCGTCGCAACGCTACTTGTTCAGGAGAAGGCTGCGAAGGAGGATAAGGCCGCTGCGTCGGGCTCTGCTGGTGCCCAAGAGGACCAAGGTGCAGCAATAATTTTGCCATTTTCGAATCTGCGTGCGTGAATTCAACATGAATGCTCGCACATGGGCATTCGTTTCATGCAACACGCGAACTACCTGCCCATTCGGACGTACGCAGCGCGCATGACATGGGACGCGTTCCAAAGAATGCTTTCTTGCTGCCGCCTCATCGAAGCAGATGACTACACCACGTCATACCACGATTCGTCTTCCGAGGCCTGGCAATCAATCTACATGGTCGATGGCGACGCCCCCCGCGTTAGGACGTTTTCCAAGATAACGTTACCTTCGTACGATCGCTCGCACGGACCAGTGCTGCATTTCGTCGACAGATTTCCCGTAGGTTGTAGCGTACAGCAGAAAGGGCGGTGATTGCGGAGGGGATATGTGCAAAAGCTCGAAACTCTCGTGATCCTTGCCGCATGTTCTAGACGGAAAAGGAGAGCGGCAAGGTCGTTGAGGGTGTGCTTCTTAACTATAACCAAAAAAGAAACTAGTGCCGTCCGTGTAGACAGCAGAAGGGTTAAGTACCGGAGGGCGTTTCGAGTTGGAGCTACTGCTGCCCCGGACGTTTCTGTAGCCGTAAGTCTCTCGCGTGCTTCCCGATCACGGAGGGTGTCTGCTTTGGCTTGTTTGGAGCAACAATGCCAAGGTAGATCCAGGAAGGACGTGGTCCTCTTTTGCCTCTGAATCTGTAATATTTTCTCTCATGCGGTAGCAATTAATCCCCCCTTTCCGTGGCCGTTTACAATAGGGCGTGTGTGAACACGATCGGCGCTCGTAGCCTTCCCTCCCTCGTGTTGGTGCTGTAGCCGCCATGTAAGCGGGTAAATAAAAAAAAAAATGTAGAGTAGAAGTATTATTTTTCGGGAGCACTGCGGTGTCGTGGCAAGACCCTTGTGTTTCAACTCTTGGCAAGTTGTAGCCAATTCTTGGCGCCTGGGGTTGAGCCTTCGGGAAAAGTTGGGCGGGGTGTGGTGCAAAACTCGTGGTGTGCACGAGCAAGCATGGCTCACACAAAAAAAACGCAACATCAAGAAACGTATATAGGAATGCAAGGAGCGTAGTGCCATGTCAAGAATAGAAATAAATGTTGTTCACCAACCACTGCTGTTTTTTCAATTTTTTTATCGGCGAAACGGCAGACGATGGCGCCACCGACTACGGCTCCAAGCTGGACAAGCAGATTGACGCAGCGGCGGCCAAACAAAAGGCGGGGGGACGCTTGACCAACAAGGAGAAGAAGCTTCTCAAGTGAGGGAAGCCATGCTTGTCGACTTAGCCGGTGTCAACCACATCTCTTTGCCGTCGTCAGCTCCTGAAATAAGCCCTCCTCCATCGACTTCTATGAGTTGCGAGCAGTAGCTTGGATCTTCTGGTGTAGCGGTAATTTTTTTTTTTTTTCAAGCACCGCACGTATCACGCGTAACAGAGCGTTCGTGAGTACGTGTTGTCTTCAAACCAATCACGGCGAGTACTTCTTCAAACAGACCGATATGCCCCTGTGTCTTTCACGCGTTTTCCTCCCAGGAACTTCGCGAGATGTCTAGAAAACCTCCGCAACCAGGGGCCGCTCTGCTGTTGCTTCCGTGTTTTTTTCTTCCTCGAAAGGAAAGTGGAGGAGATTGCTCCCCATCATCCATGATAGCGCGCTGTTGCTGCTGTATGTTCCTCTCTCTCTCTTTCTCTCTCTGATTCTCTTTCTCTTTCTCCCCCCCTCCCTCGCTCCCTCCTTCTCTCTGTCAAGGAAACTGGAAGAGAGAGAAGCCGCCAGGACGGCCGCTGAGACGGCGTCGAACCAGGGCTTGACTGCCTTCAGCCTGTCCATGAGGCCGGGCGGCGGCGGCGGCGGCGGCGAGATGACCGCCGCC